AATAGCGGCTTGCCATAGTTAGGAAAAATGCTTCTTTCGATTATCTGAACTGTGTGTTTTTTACCTCATAATAACAAAACAGATTTTTTAATAAAAAGTAGCGATGAAACGATTACGATTGCGATTATCATGTTTTCAGGATTAACTGTAATCGCCAATTATCTTTATACGATTTTACGATTATATGATTGTTATTATTTGGAAATTGGCCCTCAAATACACACACTCAAACTTATTCACTCAATTTGTAATATTGGCTTTTTATTCAATTCTTATTGTAATAAAATTAAGTTCATAGATTTTCAATTATTTCTCTAATGGAAATGAATTAAACAAACTGTATTTTGATTCCCAGTAACTAATTTTTCAGTAAAAAATTCTTCAGCGGAAATATTCGGTGATTCCATATAAGTTTGAGTGAATGTATCTTTTCTACTCGCTTTTCTATAAGCAAGTAGATTCAGAACTATGTATTATTTTCTACAACAGAACTAATTTAGGCTCCTAAAAAAATATCGACTGAGCCCACAAAATTTAAAGATGTTATGCTTCCTTAATCTGAGCTTCTTAAACAGTATTAATTGTGACTATTGATATTGATACATATAATGTTCATTTCCTTTCTTCGTTTTGATTTGATTCTTATATTCAATTTATTTTAACTTTTATCCACTTTTTTAAAGGAAATAAAAGTTTTTTGGTATATTTCGTTTGTTAATCGTAATCGCACGATATTTGCCTGAATAATCGTAATCGTCTAACTTTAATCGTTTCATCACTAATAAAAAGTAATAAAATAACATTGTTATTGAATTTAGGATACTGTCATTCAACAGTTCAGTTCAATATGGTTCATGTTTATTCACTTAAAAAATCAGTTGTTTTCTTATTATGAGGTGAAAACGACACAACTTTGACATGCTGCAATTTCGACAAGGTGAATAGTAGCAACCAGATTAGCAACTTTAAATTTCGGGGATATAATCTCAATAAAAATAGCTATCAAATGATGTATCACTCGACCCCGTTTTCCATTTAAAATTTTGGGGGTACCTGTCACCCCTGCTCAGGGGTTGACAGATAGGAAGTAAAAATACCAGTAAAATATGTTCCCCAGAAAACAAAAGTTGACGTATCCGAGCGATTTTTAATTGATCACCTAGCACTTGAGAAAGCCTGGGTAGGAAGTTTTTCGTGACCCACCCTGTATATAGACCTCCAAGAACAAATACTACCAGTTTTTTAGTGAACTTAGAAATAATTTTATTGGATTTAACGGTTACTTGTTGTAGGGTCATATTGTCTGGCAATCTGAATATTAACTTTACTAATAACCAAACATCAGCTACTCTAGCATTAAAAAAATTCTTCACTCTTATGGTTTGTCCATGTATGTAAATTCTCCTACCAGAGTGGCTGAAGAATCTATTTGATTATTTCTATACTAATTTGGTTAAAAACAAAGTTGAATGTTCGGTTAAATGTGACATAGTTTCTACCCCTGGACTGTCAGACCATGAGGCCTTGTTGGCCAATTGCTCACTACTTTGTACAAAAGAAAAAATACCCCAAAGATATATATGAAAGAGTTTATTCAAGTGAGAACTTTGGAAAATTTAGCACTAGTTGTGGACTGGGAGTCTATACTTACTACGTACTTCTGAGCAATCACTGGAAATGTTCCATATAATCTTGCATAATATGTTCACCAGAAGCTCCCCGCTGCACAGAATGAGAGCAAAAACGTCAAAAAAAAAAAACTGGATAACGAAAGGTATTAAAACTTCCTCAAGAAACCTTAGATCCTTAGATTCTATTAAAAAATTTGTTAATAATCAATATTTTATAAATTATTATAGTAACTATTGGAAAATGTATAGAAAAATTATCAAAGCAGCAAAACTACAATATTATCAGAAAAGAATATCCAATGCAAAGAGCAGTTCAAAAGAGGCTTGGTCCATTGTAAACGACCTAGAGGGTAGACATAGCTATGCAGAAAGGTCACCCAAATATTCTGAATGAATTTTACTGTTCAATTGCGAAAAAAAATTCAGATAAGATAGACCCCTCCTTAGATCCCCTCAGTTATCTTAATGGTTCAAACATAGATGAAACAGTTACTTTAACTGAAAGCACTGTAGAAGAATTTAAAATCATAATAAGGGATATAAAAAGTAAAAATTCTGCTTGAACAGACGAGATGTCTGTCAAATTTTTTCAAAACCTAAACAATGATATTCTGTTCGTATTGTCTCAAGCCATTAACAAATGTTTTGCAATTGGCGAATTCCCCGACTCACCTAAAGTTACTTTGGTGATCCCTATATGTAAAACTGGCTCCTTCAAAGATCCAGCTAACTTCGGACCTATTTCACTCTTAAATACCCTGTCAAAAATAGTGGAAGAGGTGGAGAAAAATAGACTTATTGAGTTTTTATCACGTAACAATATAATTAGCGATGGGCAGTTTGGATTTCAGTCATCCAAAAGTACTACCAAAAGTGATGCTGTCTTTTGCTTTCTAGAACAACTATATTTGAAACTGAACGATAGAGAGAACGCAGCTGCGGTCTTTTGCGACCTCTCTAAAGCATTCGATTGCGTTAGACATGACATGACATACTCTTGAGAAAAATGTACATTTATGGAATTCGGGACACGTCATTGAATTTCTTTAATTCTTATATGTTTGAAAGAACCCAAATGGTTGAAAATAATAATTCCATATCATCATCCCTATCAATAGACACAGGGGTTCCACAAGGTTCTGTCCTAGGACTCATCTTATTCTTAATATATTATGTTAATGACCTTAAATGTATGTTTACTGGTATTACACCTCTTTGGCACCATAAAGACCCACAGATCTTGAAAGAAATGGTCTCTAATGACCTCCATCAAATAAAAGCATGGTGTGATTCAAATTTTCTAAATTTTAAGACTTAAAAAACCGAGAAAAAAACCAATGTACCTAATTAGTTTTAAATTTTCATTTGACAATTTGCAACTTGGAAATCAGTCAATAGGTCTCAGTGAGGATACTAAGTTTCTTAGAATTAATATTGACTGCAACTTGAAATTTTTCCAACATATAATAAACTTAAATAAGAAAATAGCAGTAGGAGGTTATGCCGAACGCCAAACTTGTTATGAATTGGGTTAGTCTATAGCTAAAACCACTTATTTTGCCCTTGTAGAGTCCCACTTGCGATACGGAATCCCTTTTTAGGGGAACTGCAGTCAGTATCCGTTCCAGTCAGTATTTACCCTTCAGAAGCGTTGTGTTAGATATATTTTTGGGGCAGGTCTCAGGGCCGACCATTATTTCAAAGAGGAAGCATGTTAATCTTGGTGGATATCTTTAACTTAGAGACTGTTTGTCTGGTGCACAAGAGGTACCAGGGTACTACACAAGTGCACTCCTATCCCACGAGAAACTATAACCTGATACCTTTGCCTATACCGAGTCCTATACCAAGGTTCTCACTTACACAAAATGCTCTTATTTATAGAAGTATAAAAATGTACAATAAGCTACCATTAAATTTAAGAACAGACTAAAGTTATAAATCTTTATTGGCCGATAAAGCATATTATTCTCTTGACGAATATTTTAATGGCAACCTTTAACAGGTTCTTATAACTGGATATACCTACTTGTATTGTTATTGGTGTCTGTGTCGTGATTTTAGTGTCTAAAGTTTACCTGTATGTTGTATGAAACTTATTTGAAAAGGTTTATCTAATAATTAATTTTTTTTTCTCATTTTTTGTTTGTTCCAAATTCTTGAATTTTCTTTATGCTTTTTTCTCTAAATAAAAAAACTCCAGAGGTTGAAGTAGGAAACAAAAGAAAGGTCAAGAATGTAAAATAAGAAAAAAATGGAGAAAACTCCAGAGTCCTGAATAAGATGTCGTACATACATCACATCTGTAACAATAAAAATATCTATTGTTGAATAAAAAGAAAATAAATTCAGGGAAGAAAAAAAATAGTATCTCTCTTGGGACCCTTGGTATCTCTATTACACAAACTCTCAAACATTCACAACTCACGATCCTGGATGAGATGTGGCACATTACATCTTCAGCAAAAAAAAATATATGTACTTTTGTCATGTACAAAATAGGATCTACAACATTTCAAATAAAGAAAATGAATGATAATAATGTATAAACTTATGTCCTAGAAATATTATGATGTACCTTCTTCTGTTATTTCAACAGCTGTTTTATAGCCCAACATCTATATCTGTCCGTATTGTTCAGAATAGAAGAATAAGCATTGACACATAACTTAATGTTGCTGTTAAAATAACAGAAAATCATACATCATAGGCCTCTATCTATATCTATTGCAACAAGAAAAAACTGTCTTCATTCATATTCATAATTTTTCCTAATTTCAGGTTCTAGTCATTCCCACGGTCATTCTACAACCACAACCTTTTCTTTTTGATGCATAAATAAAACTTTCATATTTTGGAGTACTTCAAAGTTTTGGTTTATCGGCTATCAACATTTTATTAGGCCTGAAATTACCTTTGAAAAGAAGCATGGAACAGTTTTCGAAGCCATTAAGAGTTTAAGATTTTAAAAATTATCCTATAATCATTACACGCTGGAAGTCCGAACTAGGTAAGGGTAAGATACTTGTTCATTACTTTATGTATAAAACTTGCATTTGAGTATTAAAATGTTCATGTCTTATACACCAAAACTATTGTTAAGAGCTTTTTCTCTTCTTTTATATTTAATTTACAGAAATATTTCATTGTTTGCTTTGTGAACAAATATCTTGTATATTTCTTTTTACACAATAAAGCACGATTTTGATTTGATTTGATTTTGAGTGACAAAAAATAAAGCAGCCCATTAACATTATTTATTAAAAAAAAAATACATTCTGCATTATCGAAATCCTTATCATCATTATTAATCAGCTAATAAAAATGTTTCACAGTTTGGTATGTTAACATAACAGTCTTTTTTTTTAGGTAGATAATGCGTTTTTAATTATTTATAAAACGAAGTATTACGATATGGGAGTGCAAGATTTACAATTTTTTCTGGAAAGCCCCGCAGTAGATGGTGGCGTTCACCCTGTCGATTTGCTAAAAGTTGCTAGAAATATCAGCCAGCGTCAGCAACCTCATAACACCAATCGAAAAATCAGGCCCGTAACTAACAATAACAAATTGAAACTTATCGTAGATGCTGAAAATTGTCTCGATAGATTGTATGGAGGATATTATTCAGGTTGAATAATTTCACTTAAAAATAATAAATTATTACAATATAATAATTTCAGATTGGGCATGTGGTGGGCAATGGAACCGTATGGTTCAATATTTATCTTTACTTTGTGGAGCTCTCGACCAGGGTAACATAGAACTAGCTGTAGTGTTCAATGGTACCATCGAGCAATGCCGCATGGAAGAATGGATAGCCGAACAAGAAAATTCACGTTACAGAATTGCAAGTGTATTGAAGCATGTGAATATTAAGGGGACACCTCCACCGAAAGTATGGTGGACGCCACCAATTAGCTTAAGATCAGCTTTGAGGATGTGCCTGAGACATTTGGGAGTCAGTGTGGTAAAAATAGGAACTATCAAGCTTTATTGTTTCAAGAAGAAAAAAAAATATATTTTCAGATGTGCACGATGGATGATCATCATCAAGAAGTGATAGCTTATTGCCGGGAATATGGTTTCCATGGTCTTTTAGCAGATGATGCCGAATATGCCGCATTTGATCCACCTCGTTATTTTTCGTCAGAAAGTTTGAAATTGACTTATAAGGTATAAGGTCCAATCAAATTTATTTTATTTTACACTATTTAATTTATCATTTTTTTTAGAGCTCCATTGAAACCAAAGAATACATGCTAAGTTCGATGACTAAAGCCCTAAATGTCACCCAAGAGCAGATTTGCATAATGGCAGCTCTGTTGGGTAATTTTTTGTTGCCCGAAATTGAATTGCAAGATTTGTACAAGAGGATAAATTTGGTTAAAAATGAAGAAAATGTAAGTTCTTATTGGGCAAGTATTTTTCATTTTGGTCATTTTCGATTTTGTAGAACCCTGAAAATACTGTGAGAACTTTAGCTGATTTTGTACGCTTCTTGCCTCCCCCGTCTTCTAACATGGATGATTTGGTAATTTCTGTGTTTGGCTCGTTGGACGACAAGCGAGCCGCTAGATTTAGGCAATCAGTTCAGTATTATCTCAATGGCACGGCCAGCGGGTTTTTGAGATATTGTGCTCCTGGTAAGAATTTGTGGCAAAAATGATGAAGTATCAGTTTTATCTACAATGACTATTTTAGTTAAACCAAAACAGAAGCATATCGAGAAGAAACCAGTGCAGGTGCCAAAACCAGAACAACAAGACTTGGACGAGAGTGGATTCGCCTCAGAAACATCAGAACAACAAGTAAGCATTATTCTTAAACAATATTGATAATAATAAATGCATTCCTAAGTTATTATATGAATCCAAATTTCAAGTTCTTGAATTTTCATATTTTATTTCTTATTTCAAATTCTTGGATTTTCTCATTTTTTCTTGATTTTTTTCTATTCCAAGTTTTAGAATTTTCTTTATTATTGTATTTAGGCAAGACAAATACGTAAAGAAACCTGGTTTGAACAGGAGAGAAATGAGAAAAACAGTACCAATGTTTATAAAATAAATAGAATTTTTCTTCTTAGATTAAGCCTATTTACGTTATCAAATTGAAATTAACAATGTTGTGGTGAGGCAAAATGTGTGCTGATGTCATTTTTGAAAAAAATAACTTCATAGAGGGGCGTTTTTTTTGTGAAAAAACTGTTTCAGAGGGGTTATTTATATTTCTCAATCAAATGGATAGAAAAAGAAAGATTGAAATTTAGGGAAAAAAATTATAAAAATTTCCTTCTGGTTTTTCACCTTCATGAAAATCCAAGTCAAATAGTTCGAATCTATTAATAGAGATTTATAGAGGTTTCAGTTGCCCTTATCTTCAGCCTAATTATTACGTTAAGATCGGATTGAAATTAACAAAGTAACATTTAGGTAAAATTTATTGATATAATTTTGGGAAAAAACAAACATTAAAGTAAGTTTCAATTTTATATTAGGAAAATAAATACTTGTGGGATCAGTTATAGAGTAGGAGACAGAAAAATAATAAACTTAAACTACGGATATTTGAGCTAAATTAAATAAACACAATTTTCACTTATTTTTTTTAGAGGGAAACTTTACAAAACTACAATTTACTTACTGCAAGCAATAGCATCGAATCTTCTGGCTTTACTGAAATGGACATGCTAATCAAATCAGCAGGTAAGAACCCTGACTTGTCCCGAGCTGTTTTAGTTATTTTTGTAACTGCTTTGAATGCAATCTAAAAAAATACTGACCATAATTTTGACGTTAGTTGTTTTATGATTTCGCAACTGTCCAAAGTTATTTAAACACTCTAAGGTTTAAACTATCCAATTGATTGTTATTCAGTTAAAATCCTTCAATTTATTTTTACCTTTTCAAGAAGAAACCTTGGTGGCCTCTATTTTAGATGATTCGCCCACCTCAGAAACAGCTCAACATGTCAACGGCGTCTCCAATGGCTCACCTGGCCCCATCGAATCACCTGAATCAGATAAATCCGACCCAACACAAAAAGTCAGCAATGCGGCCTCGACTTCTGATATTCCTTGTCCACCAAGGCAGAGTAAAAAATGTAAGATATATATAATTTTAAAACAGCAACAAATCAATGAAATATTTTGTTTACAGGTAAATCAAATATTGTAACTCCAAATGTATCACATGATGTCCTGCGTACAGCCACTTTGCGTCACCAGAAAGGCCTAATGGATCCAAATATCCTGCATGTTTTGAGCACTCAAGAAGTTAGATTGCCTTGTCTTTTGGAAGACGATGTTCATCGCGAATTCCCACCTATTCATGAAATTTATATGCCTTTAAGACAGAACGCTTATGCCATTCTATTTAATTTGCATCATTTAAGATATGTGTATTCTAAGAAAAAAGGTAAACACCATTTGGGGAAAGATACATTTTGTCTTATAATAATTATTTTTAAATAGAAAAGGGAGAAATTCCAGATGGTGTTCCACCCCCAGACGTTATTGTGAAAGAATGGATTTTCAGCCGTTTGAATCCTTATGAACACCCTGTGGAAGTCAAGGCCGAACCTTTACGTTGGGGCGTGCCGACTTTACAAAGACTGTGGTTTGGGCCTTCTGTAGATGATAAACGTAGAAGGATGCGTGCCTTTTTGTCATGCCTCAATTGTGATACACCATTGATTCTGAACACTTCTTATGTTCCTCAGCATATGTTGATTATGGCTTGTGTTCTGAGGTGAGTTTTCATTTATTTGTTTTGAAGAATTGATAGTGAATTTTTTTTTTTGTAGATACATAATGTCCCAAGGAGCGATTGTCAGACGAAATGAACTTGACGCCTTTTTGTGCCAAGCATTTAATCCTCATTTAATGAATGTTCAGTATTTACAAGAATTGACTGTGAGTATAATCAATTTGAAATTTATCCCATTAAAAATGTACTAGCTTTGCTTTTGTGAGTTTTGTGCTAGTAGTTCAAATTAAATTCCCGATTCTCTTCTTTCCAGTTAAATGTTGTTACAACTCGTGGTGTTCAATTAGCCGCCCTTTTCATGGAAGGTGTAAACATGGCTATAATGGCAAATGACGTTTGCGGAGCCCCGCTGCCTTGGCTCATGTGCTGCCCCTGGTTATATTTCGATGGAAAACTGTTTCATTACACTTTGGCCAGATCTACTCACGCTAAAAACATCCTGGAAGTTTGTGATAATTACATTGAGCGTGTAGTAAAAGTCGAGCGCATGAGGAAAGCCATTTTGGAGGGTCTAGATATAAAGTTTTCCAAGCCACCGCAGCCCTTTATAGCCGGACCTCCTTTACTGCGTCCAGGCATTCCTGGTGCGTATTTGCCAAGTTTATCTTTGGCTAGAGTGAATCAAGGTAGAGGAAGGCCAATTCCTTCAAGAGGAGGGCAGTTACAAGTTGCCGGCGTTGTAGTCGGTTCTTGGGGAGCCAATTATGGGTTCCAGAACAATATTAGGCATACTCAGAATCAGGTAGAAATATTAGATTTTTTGTTCATTTTAGGTATATTAATTTTTTTTCTTGATTTTAGCAAATGCTGCCCGATGGGTTGCCAGCATTCAGGGGTGGTAGAGAATGGGGTGGAGGTGCTCCAAATTCTGGAGGATATGGACGGGGCAGAAATAATCAGAGGCCGGGAATTACATATCCGGTCAATCAAAGGAAAAATCAACAGGTAAGGATTTTGAATTGTTTATAATAACAGTACATGGACATGCTTGATAATCTGTCTACACAGCTTTCTTTGGGAGAATTTTTAAAGTTTTTTTTTCTTTCCCAGTGTTGCCCATTTCTTAAATATCCTAGAATTGGGGTTTTCAGTCGGGTGATTTTTTAATGTAAAATAACTCCATTATTTTGAATAAAACATCCTGTATATTTTGTTATCGTCAGACAAACTGAGCTTTTTACTCTACAAAAATAACAGTGAGTTCATAAAGTCTCGCATAAATTCATTATTTTGAAAACGGCAGAATTTTTGAAAAATCGCTCAGACACGTCAATTTTGTTTTTTAGTTTGAATTTTTTTGATATATTTTTTATCATACAGGGTGGCTCAAAAATAGCTTCGCTGGCATCAACTTCATTTATTTAAATAGTACCCCCTGTATATTATGTTATTTCTGGATTCTACGGAAAATTCTAGACATATTTCATGTACAATATCATATACCTATCTTCAACTGTTTCGGAAATATTGACAGTTGGAAATTGACTTTTTTGCATCTTTGACAGACTGAACAGTTGATTTTACAGCAAAACCGATTTTACATTCCTATCTTAGTTTTTCATAAAATATCCTTTGATATCAACCTTGAAGTTAATCTATGATTAAAAATTCCGGTTAAATTTAATCTCCGCTTTAATCCAAAGTCGGTGTAAAATAATAGTTTAGGCAAATTTAAAATAGGAATGTAAAATCGTTTTTCCTCTAAAATTTACCGTTTAGGTTTTACAGCCTGTCAAAGTTGCAAAAAAGTCAATTTTCAAATGTCAATATTTCCGAAACAGTTGAAGATAGGTATATGACATTGTACATGAAATATGTCGAGTATTTTTCGCAGAATCCAGAAATGCCATAATATACAGGGGGTACCATTTAAAAAAATAAAGTTGATACCAACGAAGCTATTTTTGTTTGTTTGCCCTGTATGATAAAAAATATATCAAAAAATTTCAAACAAAAAAAACAAAATTGACATGTCTGAGCGATTTTTCAAAAATTCTACCGTTTTCAAAATAATGAATTTATGCGGGACTTTATGAACTCACTGTATATCTACATTGTTTTAATTATCTTAAAAAGTTGAAATTGTATTATGAAAATTGCAGTTTGTTGAAGAGAGTACCATTGACTGAGAAAAATCCTAATATCATCCTCAGAGCGAACCACATCTCGCTATGGACACCCTGTATGTATTAAAAATATTATACAGCGTGGCCCGATAGAAAAGTAGCAGTTTTTAAGAGCATACGTTTCGGGCCAGGTTAGCCACCTACGGTTTGCGCTATTCGTTTTTTATTGGTCTAAAGTTTTTTTAGTTGGTAGTAATTTTTTTGACAATTATACAGGGGTGGGCATAATTCACCTGGGCTGGGACTCTGTAACAGATAGAGATCGTTATCCCTATCGCTTTGGCACTTGCTGTCCGAGAAAATATCTCTATTCGTTATGAGTCCCAGCTCTGGCAGCCTTCAAGCTGAAATGCATACTAACTTATGCCCAGCCAGCCATGTTGCTAGCTAACGTACGTGAATGCCGATCGAGATCGGTGGGACTGACGCATGCACTGTTTTGAAGGCTGCGTGACTTAATTCTTTGTTTATGCCCACCCCTGTACAGTGTGTCCCATTTTGGTTGTCCATAAGGGGTAACTCGGTTGCTATTGGAGTTAGACGGATGCAGTTTCCGCGAACGTTGGCTACTTTTTTGTCAAACGAAAGATGGCACCAACAGAATTGTCATCGCTCTTTTTGTTTTTCAGATACAAGGTGTTTTTGAAAAAGTTGCATTTTGGGACACCCCTTGTATCTCGGTTCTCTCACGTGTGTGCGATTTTATTTGTGTTAGTTGGTTAAAAAGTCTGCTGGAATTAAATCTAAATTCTGTAAGTAAATATTACAAATTAAATAGTTTTTCGCACACATATCAAAACAGTGATAAAATCTACGTTATGCAAACGTATAAAAACCAACAAAATCATAGTTTGAACCACTGAAATTAATTTCGACAACAAATAATAACCTCCAAACATCAATTTTACTTGCGATTCGAGAGTTTTTTTTGTCCTTACTGCGATAAGAATATTTATTGTAAATAAATCTAACAACGAAAGGAACCCGTACAGGGTGAGTCATTTTGGGTGGGAATGCCGGGTACAGCCTAAACGGTGATAGATACAAAAAATCTGATATAAGTGTCGCGATCTATTTTTTTGAGTATAGTTGAATGGACCACTCAGAATTTTTCGAAATTCATTTGTTTTCGATATACAGGGGTTTTTTGGAAAATAGCTGATTTCTGTTTTCCTCTGTATCTCAGTTGTTATCAAAAATTTAAAAAAATGGCAAATTACGTTTTTGTGTGATTTTTTACGTAGAATCCAGTGGCGTACTCAGATTTTTTTTAGGGGTATTATTTTTCGAGATATAGTCAAAATTTCAACTTTTTTAAATGGGACATCCTATATATTTTCACACCGTTAAATTAGGTTTTTTTTTGTGATTCTAATGATATATAACACTTTATAGTTTCAATAATTTTAACTGTCAAAACCGCGAAGAAACTATATTTTTAGGGTATTTTATAGAGTTGTTCCCCGGATTTAGCGATCCCGAACACAAACGTGGTAGGGCGGTAGCGGGAGCAATGCGGCAGCGACACGGGATTAGAATTATTAAAAAATGTGGTGGGATTTAATACATTTCATCCTAAAGCGTTATTTCGCTTACATGTCCTACCACATGTTTTTAATCCCACGACGCCGCCCCTCCTACGGTACCGCACTGGTGTGTAGGATCCTTCAATGAACATTTTTACGTGAACTAGCAGACAGAATAGCTAACTAGGCTTCGAACCTAGGACCCCTAGATTCAGTAACTGCCGAAGTTTGCAGATTGTAGCACTAACACGTTAAAAGTTGACAAAATACTTGACCGATTAGGCAAAAATGAACCGACGGCATCTGTATCTCAGTTGGTATAAGACTAGTAATCTAGAGGCCCTAGGTTCCAATTCTAGTCTCGTCCAAACTTTTCGTAAACTAAGCTACTGGAAAAATTAGCTCACGCTCACGCTCACACTATTAACTGCATAACTAGATGTTCGATGAGGTATTTGTTAGATTTTTGTTTATTTAAGTTACTGGTTCACGAGTTATTTGATCCATATACCTCTAGTTAGTTTACGTTAAATTTTTGTTTCCAATACAAGTTTTGATAACTTATTGAAATCCACTTCTTTGCTTACTACACTAGTGTTATAAAAGTCCATCTAGTAAAAAACTAATTTACAATTATCGAGCATCTTAATATTTAATTTTAAAGGTTGATTTTTTGTCAGTATAATATTTATAAGAAAATTCATTCGTGGCATAGCAAACAGAATTGTAGCTACTTAAAAGTTAACGAAGAGTTTGGGTTAGACGCGACTACTGAACCTTGAGGTTCTAAGTTCGAATCCTAGTCGAGTCCAGATTTTTAGTTAACTTTTCAATTAGCCATTATTCTGTTTGCTAGGTCACGAACGATTTCCCTTATTTATAATTAATTGATTTGAATAATAAATGAGCGTTCATCGTGTTAACATTAATTTATTTCCGTTCCGTTTAAAACTGTTTTTTCGGGCGTCTTAGTCAAGCGATAAAGTTGTGTTTTGTGTCATCAGGTTTGTCGTCTTAACGTCTATATTTCGATATTTGCGGACCCTCCTGGTTTGGATCTGTGGCCCTTGGGCTCCCAAAGTCTGGTGTTGCTGCGACATTATAAGTATTAAAGTTCTCGGCATTATTGTTTATGTTATCGACTTTTTGTCCCAATTAACCAGATTGGGCTAAAAAGAACAAGCAAAAAACTTGGACATTCCACTTGGCTGTGTTTGCGCCCGGTATTGTGTTGTACTATATTAAGTACAATTGACTGCTTGATCCGTTGGACTTTTATTTTATTTTTATTTTTTTTTTTTTAAACGGTGATAATCGAATAAGCTCCAATAAATACGCTTCTGTAGGTTTTTGTGGTCGACCGTAATTTGTGTATTCAAAATGGCAAAATGCTATAACTGCGATGAGACATGCGTCCAGAAGGAGGATAAGGGTGCTCTTTTCGGTTTCCCCTGCGATTTATGTCAGAGAATAGTATGTAAAAACTGTACTGGCTTGATGGCTTCCGAAATAAGAGTTGTTCCTTCAGCGTCTCGAGTCCTACTTCATGTATGCCCGGACTGCAGAGGATATCTGAGTATGGTGCCAAAATTAATAAATAGAATTACTGTCTTGGAAACTGAAATGAAGTCAGTTCGGAAAGATCTTGATGATCAGCAAGAATCATGGGCTGCAGAAGTTATGGAAATTAAAAGATCATTTAATGAAAACCGTAACGAGGGCGTGTCCGATGAGCTAACGCGTGCCGGTGAACCCTCCCAGTTACCTTTGAGTGGTGATTGTAGGGAATCTATGTCCGAGTTCATGTCTGAATTGAAGGGAGAAATCTTGGAGGGGTTGAATGCGCAGGCAGTAACCATTGAATCTCATCTATCCCGAGTCGCGGACAACATAGTTTCTGCAAACAAAGACCTAGTTAGATTCTTGACAGATGGGGGAGCATCTAATGCTGCCCATCAAGGAATTTTGAAAGAGGTTAGTCGTGAGAGGGTTGCATGGGCGAGTGGGAATACATTAGCTGCTAAAATTTCCCATTCTACTGAGGCAAAAACCGATAGAGTCCCTGGGGTACCACCCAGTAGACTGAAAGCTGCCAACAAATTTGCTAAAGGCATTAAAAATAACAACATACAATCCGCCCATCAACAAAGGCCTGTGCTACCCTCAACCAACCCGCGATTGAATCCCACAACCAACCCGCGATTGAATTCTACTTCTAATTCTACTTCTATTTCTGCTGCCACATCTGAGCGTGTGATTATTGGAACGGGCACTGTGAATGGACCTTTCTCGGCTGGTGAGAGACGTCAATGGTTATATCTTGGCCGATGTGATCCTGCAACCACTGAAGGAAACATAATTGATTATATGGATCAACAGCTTGGCATTTCGGATGTTAAATGTTTTATTCTAGATAAAAACGAAGATGTGATATCATTCAAGATTGGGGTCAAGGAATCACTCTTGAAGGGCCTGCTGGAGCCCAATCTTTGGCCTGTTGGGACGGCTATTAAGGAATTTAGAGCCCGGCGCCCTCTTAATAATAATATTAAGTCAACGAATTTTCAACAGCGGGATTTGGGAGACAATCAGACTTAGAATGTGCATCAATCTTCTATCAAAACGTCAGAGGCCTGAAAACAAAGCTCAAGGATTTATTCTGCGCTGCACTTATTGAGTCATATTCTGTCATTGCATTCACTGAAACTTGGTTGGATTCATCTGTCAATGACTCCGAGTTTCTGGATCCTTCTTACACTGTGTATCGAACTGATCGAAATGCCATTAATAGTACGAAGTGTCGGGGTGGTGGTGTCCTACTCGCAGTAAAAAATTTCTTGAAATCTAGCCTCCTGTCACTTGGTGATTCTACAATCGAAGAAGTTTGGGTATCCATAACGATTGGAAATTCTGTATACTGTGTGGGCTGTGTATATGTGCCACCATCGATGGATATTTCGTATTATGAACTTCACTTGAAATCGGTATCTTCTGCTTGTAATAGTTTTAAAAATGTTTTGGTTGTAGGCGATTACAATTTGCCACAAGTAGCTTGGTCTGCGGGAGAGGATTATCTCAAACTTGTGCCAGGTAATGTCAGATCTGCAAAAGAAATCTTGCTGTGCGATACTTCCGCATTCTTGGGCTTATCTCAATTTAATCGCATATCGAATGGAAATAACTCTATATTAGATCTTTGTTTTGCTAACTTTGACCTAAATTCAATCGATGAATGTGTTGGTTTGGTAAATTGTGATCGCTGTCATCCTGCTTTATTACTGTCAATTCAATTTGAGGAAACAAATTATTTAAAAACTGCTAATAACTTTTTTTACGACTTTAAGTCCGCTGATTTTGAGCTAATGAACAATTATTTTTTGTCCTATGATTGGTTGTCGATTTTAAACGATAATTTAGAGATTACCATAAGTAACTTTTACTCCGTTGTATTCAATTGTTTTGATTTGTTTGTGCCTATTAAGCAATGTCGCTCCAACGACAGATTTCCTATCTGGTTTTCAAGTGAATTGAAATCCCTAATTTTTCAAAAAAAAGTAGCTCACAAAAGGTTCAAACAATCAAATTCAGTTATGGATTATAACTTATTTTCTCTGCTTCGCAGACAATGCTTATCCCTGTCCAAGGAATGCTACAGTCTTTACATAGCAAACACTGAAGATTCAATCAAGGAGAATGCCGGGTACTTTTGGAACTTTGTTCGTTCGCAGTCAAATCAAGGCTCCATCCCTAGGGAAATGTTTTCTGGCTCAAATAAGGCTGATAATGGTTATAACATAGCCAATCTCTTTGCTGATTTCTTCTCATCAGTTTATAATCCTATAACCATTTCTGATGCAAGTGTTTCTTCCGTTTCTTCAACACACACCTTTCAATCAATTTCTGACATTCAGATCACTGCATATGACATTGAAAAATCGCTCTCTGAACTCGACATAAATAAAAGAGAGGGACCCGATGGAATCCCAAACAGAGTGTTAAAACTTTGCTCCCATTCTCTGTATCTTCCCCTCTATTACGTATTTTCCAAGTCTCTTATCTCTGGAGTGTTCCCGAAAGTCTGGAAATTGTCATATGTTTGTCCCATCCACAAGTCAGGAAGCAGGAACAATGTGTCTAATTATAGACCAATTAGTATCCTCTCAGCAATACCCAAGCTATTTGAGCACTGTATAGAAAAAGTTTTGTCGGTTGCCTTCCATCAAGTCATAGTAAATCAGCAACATGGATTCACCTCCGGCCGCTCCGTTGATACCAACTTGTTTCTATTCACTAACTTTATCAATAGATCATTCGAGAACGGTTGTGAGATACATACTATATATACTGACTTCAGTAAGGCCTTTGATAAGGTCAATCATGCTCTTCTACTCTCAAAGTTGTCCGGTTATGGCATTGCGGGTACTTTGATTTCTTGGTTGGAGTCTTATTTGTCAGGTAGGATTCAGCAGGTGAGAATTGATGGTTATCTCTCGGATAAGTTCGATGTCACATCTGGGGTTCCTCAGGGATCTCATTTGGGACCTTTCTTGTTCAGTTTATTCATCAATGACCTGGGCCATCTACTTTCCTCCAATTTTCTGATGTTTGCGGATGATCTGAAGATATTTCGGGAAGTATCATCAACTCGTGATATTCTTCTTCTGCAAAATGATCTGGACATTGTATACGATTGGTGTAACCTCAACGACATGTCACTTAATATCGACAAATGCTGCTTTATGCGCTTCACCCGCTTGATGAATACTATACCTGTGGAATATTCCATTAATCACGTTGCTCTTGCTGAGGTATTTGTTGTTAAGGACCTTGGCGTTTACTTGGACACTAAACTTACGTTCATCGAGCACTTTGAGTATATAGTAGGTAGGGCTAATAGAATATTAGGTTTTATCAAAAGAACCAGTAAAGACTTTAGGAATGTGTTTGCTCTGAAGGTGTTGTATACATCGCTGGTTCGATCCATTCTTGAATTTTCAAACATAATTTGGTCGCCATATTATCAGGTTCATATAAATAGACTTGAAAATGTTCAACTTAAATTTATAAAATATGCTAAATATAAACTTTTTTGCAATGGTATTGAACTTGATAATGATCAGACTATGTTATACCTAGACTTAGCATCTCTTGTTCGCAGAAGAGAATACTATGACATATGCTTTGCATGTAATGTTCTGAACTACTATATCAAGAGTCCAGAATGTTTGGAACCTTTTCGATTTCGTGTACCTGGATATCCAACACGTAGGCAGACCTTGATGCATATACCAATTTGTAATTCTTGGTACTTATTGTATAGTCCTGTTAACAGAGTATCAGCGAATGTGAATAAGTTTTGTGAGTCATTAGAATTTTTTAATGTTTCTCATAAAAAATTTAAGAGTTGTGCAAAAAGGGCAGTTTTAGGTTAGTTAGTTTAAGTTCACTTGTAAACCTGTAAATGTTGATACGTTAATAAATAAATAAATAAATAAATAAATTTAAAAACAGGGTGAAATTTTCAGGTTGCATAAAAATCCTATAGTCAATTTATTTACCTACATGTTAAAAAATTGAAATATTTCATTTTAAATAAAATTACTAACGAACTACGGCTGGATATGATTTGTTTATTATTATTAAAAATAGTCATTAAAGCAATTGAAGGATCCTACACACCAGTGCGTTACTGCGGGAGGGGCAGCGTCGCGGGATTAAAACATGTGGCAGGATATGTAAGCGAAATAACGTTTAAAGGTAGGCGCAGATTGACGCGGGACTGCGGTAGCGGGAGCGGGAACGGGAGCGATACGTTAGATGCGGCAGCGGGGAGTTTGCATAGCATGCACACCAACGCGATAGTTTCTGCCATACTCGAAACACGTGGTAGCTTCCAAACAATACAAAAACATTATCAAACTACTATGCGAACTGCGGAAAAACGCTGCACGCTACGAACCGAAATTAAATCGCACACATCCCGCAAATCGCATGCGTTCTCTCCGTACCGGTATGCACTTCTTCATATCTCGCCGTTGATTTACGTCCCGCAAAAGTTTCGTTCCCGCTTCCGCGAGCCCGCGTCAGTCTACGCCTACCTTTAGGATGAAATGTATTATATCCCACCACATTTTTTAATAATTCTAATCCCGTGTCACTACCGCACTAGCTCCCACTACCGCCGTACCACGTTTGTGTTGGGGATCGCTAAATCCGAGGAACAACTTCTATAAAATACCCTAAAAATATAGTTTTTTTGCGGTTTTGACAGTTAAAATTATTGAAACTATAAAGTGTTATATATCATTAGAATCACAAAAAAAAAACCTAATTCAACGGTGTGAAAATATATAGGGTGTCCCATTTAGAAAAGTTGAAATTTTGACTATATCTCGAAAAATAATACCCCTAAAAAAAATCTGAGTACGCCACTGGATTCTACGTGAAAAATCACACCAAAACGTAATTTGACATTTTTTAAAATTTCTGATAACAACTGAGATACAGAGGAAAACAGAAATCAGCTATTTTCCAAAAAACCCCTGTATATCGAAAACAAATGAATTTCGAAAAATTCTGAGTGGTCCATTAAACTATACTCAAAAAAATAGATCGCGACACTTATATCAGATTTTTTGTATCTATGACCGATTAGGCTGTACCCGGCATTCCCACCCAAAATGACTCACCCTGACACAAAAATGCCAGATACACAAATTTCGTTGAGTCAAATTTTACAAGGCCGATATTACCGACCAGATTCAAACTTTAGAAAATACTGTTACAGAAAAGTTTGATTCATTGAAGGAAAAAGTTGAAAACTTGGAGCAGGAAAATCAAGAGTTAAAGAGCAAAGTAGAAAAATTAGAAAGAGAGACAAAGAGGAACGGCGCACTGATTTTCAACCTAGACACCACAAGCTCTTTCCGGCAAATACATTTGTGATAGTATTAACAATTTACTGGAGCTGGACTTAACTGAGGATCACCTAAATAATTTTTATGGACTTGGAAACTCTACGAATGCGCCTATAAAAGTGCAGTTCTTGTCAGCATTAAAAAAGTCGCTAGTTTTTAAAAATTGTCATAAATTAAAGGGCACAGGAATAGTAATCTCACACGACCTAACTGAAGACCAAAGGGCAACTCAGAAAGTTCTCCGTAGGCATCTTAACAAGCTCAAAAGCGAATCTGACGAAAAGGTCTACATTAAGGGAGATAAGTTATACACCGAAAGCGGTATAATCCTATCAGTTGACGATATTGTATTTATTGAAGAAAGCCAAGAAACTGTTGAAGAAGTGCCAAAAATCCAACAGAAACCGGATCAAAAAGCTTTTAGAACCCCTAGACTAGAGATAAAGGCAAAAACCTCTGGAGACAAGATTTTGGCAAATATTGGTTCTAGAATTGAAAAGAAGAAAACCTTAAGATGAGGATCGTCAACTAGTCAAAAGTGAAAAACAACGGTTTTGAAGAAACATTTTACAGCTTGTAAGTTTAATTAAGATTTATACAAAAATTAAAAAAGAAATAGAAAAAAAAAAAAAAACACATTTTAAACATTTCTTATCGCATTCTGATATCCTAGTAAAATGAATCAATTTATTAGAAATTTTACATATGATTTTTTAGAGACCAAAGAGGTTGAAAATTTTCACAAATATGAACATTCTTTAAAAGATAATAAATCTCAAGATTACTTTAAAATAATTCATAAAAATATAAGAAGCCCTAATAAAAATTTTGAAGAGATTTTGGTAAATCTGTCTCAAAAAGAAAGTCAGGTAATGTCTGCTCAGCGAATCTGTGTCTACGGGGCAACGGTGAGGGGAATGCAGTTGTAAAAAAAAATGGCTGATTTTATTCATAAAATACCCAGCTGCGTAAGCCTGGCCAATAGCGAGACATAAGGTGACGTTGGCTCATTGACAACCGTATGGTTTCCCATGGCAACGGCGACCGTGCCAAAAACTCCACCAATCAGGTTCATCCAGGCCGGATGCTTGCCAAATTGTCAAAAGCGGATGGTATATTTAGAAAATGTTTATTTTTTACAATAGATCAAATTGAAGAAATCAGGAGAAATAAGAATAGATCTAACAACCAAGTTAAAATATTTAGCATTTTATTATTGTTATCAATATTTTGTTATTAAAAAATGGATTTTCAAATGAACTATACTTCATGTCTAGTATTTTCGCTTTTTTATAATTAAACGTGGCAATATGGCGCCTTTACATCCGAATTCCTGCCGTAGACTCAGATCCGCTGGGCAAACAATAGAGTGCATTATTCTTACAGAAACATTCAAAATACTAGACAAATCTCAATTTTATCTTGAAAATTATGAGTTTGTCTATAGTGAGGGAGATATTAACAAAAATGATGGTGTTGCTTTTTACATTAAAAGCTCCCTGAGCTATTTTTCTAAAATCATATTCCTAGATCGATGCAAAGCCCTTGAAGTGCACATTACCACATCTGACAATAGAAAAATATTGATAACTGCTGTATACAAACTTCCTGCTCAAAACTCAAATAACTTTGTACTCTCCCTCTCTAACTACTTGGAAAATACTAAACAAATAGTATGCGATGTGCATTTTATTGTCGGTGACTTGAACATCGACCTCCTCGTGGATGAAGAGACAAGTGTTGATCTATTAAATGTACTCTATACACAAAATTTTTAGTCCTTAATAAACAAGGTAACTAGGCCGGCTTCTAAAACATGCATTGATCACATACACGCCAAATGCCAAAACCAGTTGTTATTAGAAAGCCTTTTTCTTGTAATTATAAAAAGTACCATAACTGATCACTACTCAACCACCGTTGCGGTACCGCTGAAAAGCAACTTATCTGTTAAACCTAAATTGTCCTACGAAACAATAAATGAAAAAAAATTGAAACCAGAAATGGCAAAAATAAACTGGAATGACTTTTACAAAATTCAACAAGTGGATGCTATGACAGAATATTTCTTGAACTTAGTAAGAAAAAAAATTAAAGAAAACACTACTTCAATAATAATTCACGAACAAAAATTAAGCGAAAACCATGGATTACTCAAGCTTTAGTTATTACTGTAAATAAAAAAAAACTTGTATAAAATTTACCAAAAGAACGTTTCAGCGATACCGCACGCAACTTAACATTTTATAAAAACAAGTGAAAATCAATTATTTTAAATCAAAAATTATAAAAGACCAAGGATGTTCGAAAACCTTATGGAAAACAGTGAAGAATATTTACTCAGAGTCGAAAAATTCTGAAATAAATCAAATATATGAGGACAATAATAAACTTTTAACAGATCCGATAAAGGTGGCCCACTCGTTTAATCATTATTTTGCAAATGTTGGAAATAATTTAGCCAAAAAAATAAAACAACCAAAAAAAAACCCACTAAGACAAAACTTTCATCTGGAACCCACAAATAAAAATGAAATTGCACACATAATAAAAAATCTAAAAAACAATAAAGCCGCAGGAATCGATAAAATAAAAACTGAAACAATAAAAAATATTTGCGAGCATGTTATCGGCCCTTTGGAGCACATTATAAACCAGTCCTTTAAAACAGGAATAGTCCCTAAGAAATTTAAAATCGCGACTATAAAACGTGTCTACAAATCGGGGGACAAAAACGCTAAGACAAACTACAGGCCAATTTCCCTTCTTTCACATTTTGCAAAAATTTTCGAGAAGGTCCTTAATGAAAGAATCCAAAAATACTTTACAGTAGTGTGCGCCGGCAACGTAGGCCGTCGCCTCATTGAATTGTCTATCAAAAAGGTGTTACTTTGATGTTTTTTTGGTAGCATTAAATAGTCAAAAGTATTTAGGGTGAAACATCGTGCCCTGTTTTCATTGTGAGAGTGAAAGCAAGTGAAAAAACAATGTATTTTAATATCCAATAAAGTGTAAACAATCCCATTCTACCCGTACTGAAGGTTACCTAGCAAGCATTGTTGCCAAGTTGTAAACATTCACACAAACATTTTCTAGTAAAGTACATGGTAATGTTTTTCATGTGAATAAATGCAGCTGGGACCATGGAATGTGACGTATGTAAGGAAAAAAAATCTATAAACATAAAAGTTTTTCCATGTGATGGATGTAATTCAAATATATGTACTAAATGTAGCAAAGTTACGGCTTCAGAAGTAAAAGTGTTGGAGCTTCGCAATGGGCGAATTATGAAATATCTATGTCATAAATGCACTAAATTTGAAACGTTTGAATCACTTAATCAGACTATAAAGGATAAAATTGATATTATAGATGGTAAGGATGAAATCATAAACCTACTTAAAAGCAAAATAAAAGATTTGGAGCTTGCACAACAAAATGTTAATACCACTCCGCTCTATAGCAACATAGTACAATCCACAGCAAATAATTCACTTATCAATAAACAGAAGATTATTAATAACATCCCTAGTATATTAATTATTCCTAGAAACCCACAAAATGCTGAAGTCACAAAAAAAGATCTACAAACATATGTCAAACCTTCTAACCTAAAAATTGGCATTAAAAATATCAGATCAACCAAGAATGGCAGTGTGGTAGTTAAATGTCATAATAAACAAGACTCAAACCTCTTTAAGGATGAAGCCGAGAAAAACTTACCTAACTATGAAATCCAAATTACCAAAATGAAACAACCTAGATTTAAAATTATTGGTTATACAGGAAGCCTGAATGCAACCGACTTGGAAACTTGCATCCGTGATCAGAATGATTATGTCAATGAAAATGATAACATTAATGTAACATACCTAAAAAAAAATAGATCTAACAATACCTACACAATATTTGGAGAAGTTTCACCAAATTTATTTCATAGGATGCTTGTCAATAAGAGGTTGTTTATTGAGTGGACTAGTTACCCTGTTTTTGAAGATATCTCTATACAGCGATGCTTTAAGTGTCAGGAATTGTATCACAAAGGTACTCAATGCAAAAACCAAACAGAAACATGCGGTTATTGTGCAGAAATGCATAACACCCTCAACTGCTCAAAGGACAAGGATAGGAAGTGCATCAATTGTGTTCGAGCAAATGCAAAATACAAACAGGAACTTGAAATTAATCATGCAGCTAATAGCCCGGATTGTCCAACATATAAGTATCACTTGGAAATATTAAGGAGTAAGATAGACTATGGTGGTTCCAATGGCAGGTAATATATCAGAAGTGGACATTGGAGAACAATTGGATTTATTGGATGAAGAATTGCAAGGTACAACTGACTGTGATACAATTAAAACTATAATTAAATCAAATAACAATATTTTGAGTATTTTGCATCTAAATATACGTAGCATACATAGAAACTTTAATAATTTGCTCATATTTCTGGAAGCCTATGATTTCAAAAATTGTGATATTATTATACTGACTGAAAGTTGGTGTATTGAGAATATTAATCTCTATAACATAAATAACTTTTTCCTACGAGCGTGCGCAAAGAAGTACTTTTCCGCACGCATTCCAGGGCTCAAAGTTACACTTTTCCGCACTCAGTGCGGATACAGGCCTTATCCGCACTGAGTGCCGAAAAGTAAAAATACTTGTCAAGCAACAATAAGTGCACCTGTCGACTTTGACACATGATGACAAATTTTTTCTCGGTTTCTATATCAGCCAACATCAATACAAACACCAAATATAAATTAACCTTGACACATTGTCAGATTTGTTCTCTATTTATATGCAAGAATCTACAAACTTTATCATCAAATTTAAATGCTTTAAGATGAACAGCTCTGACGAGGATTTTCTGTTATTTTTTTTATTAGGTAATTTTTTGATAAATGTATAGGTTCGCTTCAAGTTAATTAAAAATAATTGAACAAATTATGGGTTTAAAAAAAAAAAAAAATCTTGTTACCTACCTGATATGAAGCTCGTAGGAAAAATGTTGTTCCTAACACGTGCGCAAAGTGTCTTTTCCGCACGCAAACACGTATCCGAACTCCGCTTCGCGTCGTTCGTATAACTGTGTTTGCGTGCGGAAAAGTGACACTTTGCGCACTTGTTAGGAAAATAACTATAATGTTTACTATAACAATGCAAATTTTAATAAAAACGATGGCACTGTTGTGTATATTAAGAGGAGTCTTGATGCCTTGGTGAAAGACTTGAATTTCGATTCATCGAAAGTCACCATGTGTCATATAAATTTCAGTATTTCTGGCATAAGCTATGAAATTGTTTGTGGTTATAGGCCACCTTCCACTGACATACAATCTTTTTTTAATGACTTGGGAAATTATTATTCTAACAGAAGGAAAAAACAGATTGAGCTTCTGATTGGTGACATCAATATCAATATCTCCAATAGGGAGGATATAGAAGTTAATCAATATCTATCTCTTTTGCATTTCTATGGATTTGACAGTGCTATAAATGGCCCGACACG